GCACAGGTGATAATTGAAGGTGTGATCTGCGAAGACTGCCAACGATCGAAGCGACTTTGATATGAACCCGCGCGGGTTAGTGTTGCAGGAGCGCAGCCGACATTCTTGGTGCACGCCTCATGCCCGAGAGTTCCGAGTTGCAAACTCTTGGAAGTACTGTCGCAATGTAGCAACGCCACTATGGCAAGGTTGGATGGCTTGCCTCTTCACAGCCGAAACTTTCGCTGGAGACCTTCTTGTACAGAGGAAGACTCGGCAGTCACCCAACGTGCCCACCTCACATACAGCCGATGTCACGGCACAAGCGGCACAAGATGGGCTGCAAAGCTTAACTTCACCAGCATGCCAGACTGACGAAAGATGACGAAAGCAGACGAAAGCATGAAAAGACTCGTAAATCTCTGACTAAACCCAGGGCTTTCTGAAGCTAAGCCGCCACCAGCCTGCGACCCATCAACAGTGCCACGGCCAGGCCGCAACCGCTGTACCGGGCTGTGCTTTCCAGCAAAGCGAAATCCTCAAGCGAAGGAGCGTAGCCTCTGTAAGCCGCATGAATTTACAAGCTGAGGAGTGATCCAAGGACTCCAGGCTGTCCTGAACAATGGCCACAAGCTCCTTCGCTCCAGGTTGCAAGTTGCTACGTCGCTGCGTCTTCGCGGAGCATCGTCTACTAAGAATGAAAGGTATAAAGCTGCACACTCGCCAGGTTCAGACCCAGATTCATGATCTTCTAGCGGATCAGACCTCAGCGACCAAGCATGCACCGGCCGGCACTATCACTGGGACTGCAATCCCTGGAACCTGCAGCTCAGCCGTGGCAAAATCTGCGAGTGGAAGCGTTTCGCACAGAACTCCGAGGCCACGGAGCTGCTCCTTCGCTCTCGCGGTGTTCGATGTTGCGCGCATGGCGTATGGCAAACAGCTTCTCCACTACTCCGATGACTCCCGTCCCGGTCCTCAAGCCGTCCACCATGACCTTGTGCAAGGGTCGAATCGGCCGGACAGGGGAGCTTCGCACCAACAGCAGGGCAGACTTGCTTCTTGTAATGCGATGGGGCCCAGAGAGAACTTCAGACATTGAGAACGGCCAGGTCCCCAAGTTCAACCTTCGAACAGCCTGTTCATGCCACTAGCATTCCCACTGGTTCTCCTGCTATGACGACCACCACGACGACAGCGACAAGGTGTCTGTGACCGCTGAATAGCGCGGACACTCATGGTGCAAGGTCGGCGGCTTGTCTGTCTCATTTCATATCTTGAGCCTTCAGCTAGAGAAGATTACGTAGGCTTTCCTGATAAGTGGGACTGGTGACCACAGATTCAATTGCGGCAGATCCAGGGCGGTGGACAGTGGCTCAGACAAAATCTTCCAAGGCAAGGGTGGCGAGTGCGCACGGCTCTCGGCAACGATCAAGCACGAGATGGGAAGACAAGAATCAACAGAGCGGTGAAGAAAGCGCTGCTGCTGAAGCATTGCTGCCCAGATGCAAAAAGCGAAGCGGGTTTGTCGATGAAGGGCACAGGCTGTTTGAGGGCTTGTGCTGTGCGAGGTAGGTCCACAAGTGCCACAGCTAAGTCGTCCTTGCGACCACCCTCCTCGGCAGAGCACATCGTGAGAACAGCTGGTGGCCATGAGACACAGCACAGGAGTGTGATGATCGCTGCTGAGTGACGGCTGGTTGGCACAGCACGCTGGTCAGCATCGTGATCGGCTCTGAGATCGGATTGTGAGGAGTACCAGCTTGAACCCACGATCCTCGCTGCAAAAGCCGATGCTCCCAACCGAAAAGGACGTGAGACGTCTTGACACCATTCAAAGCTTAACGGTCCTGTTGTGCCGTGGACTCGGCGGTAGTACTTCCCCGATGAAGCATTGAAAAACAGCCAGGGGAGCGGTCGGCCGCCCTCTTGCTGCCGTTCGTGCACATACCACACGCCTGCATGCGGAACCGCGCAGTGGACCCACATAACCCTGCAACCCTCCATGGGTTTTGGTTTGGCACCCTTGTGCCAGCTACGCTCACTACTGATAGAGACTGTGGGCAACTCCAGCGAAATCAGTCCACAAACTGATTTCGACTGTTCCGTGTACTTCCACGCACTCGAAGCTTCGGAACTCGGCTGATCCTGCACTTCCCAACACTGTTGCAAGACGTTGGGCTCAGGTTCCATGCTTCGTTGCACGGATTCGTTTGGAGTTCCGTTCGGGAAGTGAGGCGGCCACAAACGATTTTCAAAGCGCCTGGAAGTCTCGGAACCGCCATGGCTTGTCCAGCGAGTGACCAGCTCGGTCCAGACGGCTGGAAGTTCTCGAGCTGCTCTTCCTTCCAACCCCGCGACTGTCTTCCGCAAGCCCGCAGGCGCATACGAGAAAGGTGGCAGCTGCACCTTCTTTGCATAAATCCATTCTCGCAGAGAAGACACCTCAGCAGGCCGAGAAATGTTGTTCGAGATTCTTGACAAGTTTAAAGCGAGATGCACCTATTTTCGAACGACCCAGGGCAAACTGGCGCCGAGATGCACTCTTCTCCTGCTCTTTGAACTTCTCAGCTTGTGTGGCGGTCGTGAATTCTGGAAGACGTCGCTCGGCTCCCTCATCCACATCCTGAGTTGCTTCATGGGCTGCCGCTGCCAAGCCGGATGTGGGAATCCCGAGAGCTGAGGGTCCTCTCCAAGCAGGTCAGCGGCCGACCACTGGGTCGCCTCTAACTCGGCGATCTTCGACTTGATCTCCTCGGCTCGGGACGACGTGCAAATCTGACACGATCGGAGTCGGAGATTGTGGCCACTGTGCATGCGAGGAGCTGCTCGGCTGCCATTTGTGGCAAAAGCCACCCGCAGTAGCTGGCTTCCATCCTTTCGAGCCTCTGGGACCTTAGTGCCGTAGTCTGAGTCTGCGGTCCTCTTGCGTGACAACCCCCTGCCGTCTAGTTCTTGATGTGAGTGAGTGCCCTAGAGCACGGAACAGCAAAACCCCGAAATGTGTACAAACCTTTAACTTTCATGTTTCCAAGTTGCGGTCTTGCGCCTGGGCCCACGCACGCGCGATTCATGCACACCTTCCGGTTCGTGCCTCGGACAGCACGAACCCCGAACCAAAAGAGGCAGATTTAGCGGACATTCCACACAGCATGCAGCTGCAGGCCGCGGGGCCTCGTGAACAAAGACAACTCTGCTCTAACCGACGGACCAGCATCATCATTGATGACCTGCGTTGCTTGCAGTCTGCAAGGCAAGCCTGCACGCGTCGCCCAATCTGGTCTGGTGGCCGAGAAGTCCGGCGGTGGCACGCCCTGCTGGTTCCACGTCAGGTCACCGAAGCGGCAAGCTACGGCCTCGACCTCCCAGAGCAGGACAGCAGGAGGAAACTCGAAAGCTAACTCCTCAGGGCAGACAACACATCAGGCAATGCTTTGTGCTGCAGCCCATCAGGCTGAACGAGAACATGCCACCTGCCCTTGTGGCTCGCCTTTCTTAGCGAGAGATGCTCGGCTCAATCTTCAGTTCGATTGACGTGAGGTGACGCTTCCACGCACCAGCATTTCAAAGATTTATCATCTGTGTCGTCCAGGTTTCAACGTGTGGGTTGTCGGTTGAAATCCTGTGGCAGAGAGTCTCATCGCAGATCTTAGCTCTCCCCGTGTGCCGGTGCAAAACTAACACACAAGATATATCCAGGCCAAGGTCCGCATGTCCCGACGGGATTTGGTGCCCAATGTGCTGCACGATGTGCACAGCTGCTGGATTAAAACACCACATCCCCAACGGGCACCTCTTCAGCCTCTCTTTCCTGATTTGAGTTGTCCTTCTGAACCTCGGAGAGGATGTCGTGCTTGTCACAAGCTTGCTACGACAGCAGGTCAGCCGACAGTTGCGGTGTCCAGCTGCAGCTTTGCAGCAAATTCAGGCGGAGTTGAAGAAAAAATTCCAGCTGCACTGCCTCCAAGTACCTGTCCCAGCATTGACCTAGCCGTTCGGCTGCCTCCAAGAGGACAAATGGTGCCATCCTGCCTGCGTGGCCCGGAACTTCACCTAGAAGAATCTCGCAGACATGGGATAGAGCACAGGAAGCCAGGAAATAAGTTAAACAAGTATGCGGAAGAGACCACCCGAGACTGCGTGCCACGGGACCCAGGCGGAGCCTGGTGCAGGTCCACGGCCCCCTTGCCTGAATTGAAGTCTCGGTCTGACTGGCCCACCGTCTACGCTCTGCAGTCACTCAATCCTAAAGAGCCCTCAAACCGATTGTAGAGGTGGCGAGCTTGCCAGCTCGATGGTCCCAGCCAAGCTGCCGGCCACCCTCGCGACCTTCGACCTGTACCAACGCCAGCTAGGCAAATGGGCAAAGCAAATAACTTCTCTTCACCAACGGCGTGTTGAGTTGGTTCTTGAATGAAAGATACATAAACCTTCGGGTCTGAATTTAAGAAGCAAATACAGACAGACAAGCAGACTTAGACAAATGAGCCGAGTGCACCCTCCACCTCACAGGCTGTCTGCAGGCTTACCCCCCCGACTCCACCGATGCGCGCGACCTCTGGAGGCATCCCATATGCGGCTCGGTTTCCCTCCTGAGAGTACGACAACTTCACCGTGCACATGCTGAACACAACCACATCGTCAAGGAAATACAGCTCAAATCAAGTAAGATCTGGTCGGCCATCGTGCTGCTCACGCAGCTGCAGAAGCCGCGATCCACATATTCGCAGACACGCCCATTCCACAAAGCAGGTCGCAATTTGGTCACCGGGCGGTTGCCAGAATCTAGTGCATTAACTGGCCTAGAGATGAATGCTTGGAGTCGCAAATCTGTCGCAGCTATCAAACCATCAAGGAGCATGACTTTACAAGCTTGGTGTCCTCTTTCCTGAGCCGACTAATCCAGTGGACATGCATGGCACACTCACCATGTCAGCACAGCTTCAGCCTGAAGCTGTCGTGTCAAACTCCCGACAGAAAACTTTCTTAGCATGACTGTCGTTCCAACAAAAGGTCAACTCCTCCTTGCCATCTGAGGTAAGCTGGGGCAATGCCGGGAGCGCAGTCGCGTACCTCTCTCAGACGTTTTCCAGACCCCATTCCCTATCAAAGCCCATCTCTGTCGATGACTTCTCATTGCCAGCAAGGGGCATCTCCCAACTGCTCACAACCACAAGCCGACCGTTGCTCAGTTGCAACAGAGGTAATGCCAGAGTGCCTGCGCACCAGGGTTGGCACGGAGCGGTGCCTCTCTTATTCGATACTGCACTACCACTTCGAAGTACAAGACAAGGCACCCAACAGATAGGTGCCCCACAACCTTGGCAAGACACAGTGTAACAACACGATGCAGCAACAGCAAGATGCCATGGACGGCGAGTCCCTCGCTAATGCTCCCCTGCGTGATCCACATGTGCGTCCTGCACCCCTGGGATGAAGCATATCGGCAAAATGGTAAGGCAGGCGGCAAGTTTGCCGCAAAGGTCTCTTCGACATTCTCCGTGATGCTTCGCTGGTGGCAAAAGCGCTGCTCGCCACATAAAAGGCAGTCAAGACCTCATGCTGACATGTGCAAGCAAAACTCCCGATCGACTAAAGCTGTCGGTAGTCTGGCGCCATCATCAAACATGGTGACAGAGTTGCTTGCCGAAGGACGCTGCTGAGTCAAGCTGGACTCGAATTGCTGCCTGACAGACAAGCCCTGAATTGAAGCTGCATTTTGACACGTGCTGCCGGGTGCCGCCGAGCCACCAACAGTCTCGAACTGCAGAACGCGAAGCGACGTCCCCAAGCAAAATGTGCAGTGGGCTCTCGCCCTGAAACAAGCCATCCACAGATGTAGCCGACTCTCTGCAAACGCTTGCAAACGCTAAGTGCCTCCTCGGTTATGACGCCTAAAGGCTGGAGACAGGTGGTCAGGCCATCCGCCGTCTCCTGGGTTTCACAAACCTCAGTTGGACTGACAAACGGAGGCGAGGCAGTGAGTGGAGTGACTTAGTGAATGAGTGTGACTGACTGACCGACTGGCTGACTGAGTGATTGAGTGGAGTGAGCGGAGTCAGTGGAGTGAGTGGAGTGAGTGAATGAGTGAGTGAATGAGTAAGTAAGCCAGCGAATCGACTTTCTGCAGTCGGTCCATGCCGAAACCATGCCTCCAACGCCGATCCCCCCTTTCTCTTCGGGGTCTCTGCATGTGCCATTGACCTCTCCACCAGAGCTTCATGCGGGCGAAGGCCGGTCAAACGCGAAGGATCACCAAGGATCACATATACGTTGTGTAGGTTGTGATTGTGTAATGACAGATTGGGCCCACCCTTCGCAAGCGAACAGCCGCCCCCGGCGAGTCATGTACATTTTCATGGGTGAATGTATGGATAGATGGATGGATGCGTGTACGTGTGCGCGTGTGTGTATGCATGTCTTTTGCATTAAGAAAAGATGTGTGCATGTGTGTATTTTCGCATGTACGTCTGCACACATGCTTTATGCGCGTATGGTCGGCAGCAGGCGGGCAGGTCGGTAGTCAGATACAGCCTAGCAAGATGCGACTGCGCAGGCTGCAAACCATGCCAAGCCGCAGCATAAACTGTAGCTCCACACTCCAATAAGAATTTGGTGATTTCTTGCACGACGACAGTCCCGCAGCCTGCTCGTAAAGATAACAAGGCTTCGTTCCGGCTGACATGGCATGATGCTTCGTTGCCTGTCAACAAATACACGCGGCCGGTGAGGTGCGGTCGGAATGTCCTCTCACAACTGCCGAAGCTAGGCGACCCAGCTGCATTCGGGATAAGTCACCTGGTCTGACACTTATCTCAACATTGTAACATGCAGCAAAATGCAACAATGGAATGGAGCAGCACCTGGTTAGAATCAACGACGACACTGCACGTAGACATCAAGGACCCAGCAGATGGCAAGAATCGCAAGGGTTCAGAGAACTACAGACTCGAACATGCTGTACGATGATGCGCGATGCCAAATCCTGATCGCGTGGTCCGGGGATTTGTTTGTCGCCGCATGTGCTTCAAGTCCATCTGCGGTGAAGTGCTGCCTGGCGGCGCCGATGACTGCTGCACAACACGAAAGACGTGCATTCAGCAATCACAGACCTTCTGATGCAAGGCAGGTCAAGGAAGCAATACTGTACTGCACATACATGCACATACCCCACCTGCCGAAAAGATATGGTTGGGCGAGTGCAGCAAAAGAACCGAAAGCTGACTCCATGGGAGAGGTCGTGCCGAAAACCGACTGCACCAAGCTCTACGCCACGTAGACTTCAAAAACCTACCTGATGCTTCACGGAGCGTGTTTACAACGTAACTCTGAAATGAAACTGCTGCTGCAGATGCCCGTGATGTAACGTCTCGAAGAGCACAGGTGATGCGGTTGCAGCAGCGCCCAAGCATGAGCCAAGAAAGCACACGCTAGGAAGTCACACGGACAGCCGGCAGAGAGAATCCAACACCCTACGGAGGGGACGCAAGGCATGCAGGCCACTGGGGGGGAGAGGAACGTGTCTCGCATGCTTGGGATACCTGCACATCACCACGACGATTTTCGGTTGGATAAAGAGCTTTTCTTATGGGCTTCTGAGGTGCACAACTCAACGTCACGCGCTGATTCGCGACCCGCTACAAGTTTGAAAGCTTTCGCCCAAAGCCATGACTGCATAAATCTGCAGATGGCACACTTTGTACAAATGCGCGCCATGGTGGCTAGCGTTGCCGACCTGAGCCCGAACAAACCTCACCTAATCAAGGAATCGCTGCAGCTTGAGGTCGCTGCGTCGTTGCTTCAGGACCATCTTCAGCTCGAGCAGGACCCAGGGCGACAGCAACCAACACCAGCGCCAAGAGTTTCGGACATGGCCTTCAAGCCTCCAAGAGTGCAGGGATGGCAGAAGCGGCGGCGCAGTCAGGCAACATCCACGCCAAGAGTCCAAGTCGAATCTATCCACATCTCTGCAACTCGCGGTTCAGCTGCTGGGATAACGCGACCAGATTTGCGCGATGAACGGCGCTGTCCTTGGCACTGAAAGTGGTAGCATGCCTCCTCGTGACAGCTGTATCTGTGATGGAATGTATTCCAACGGTCATGCAGAGGAGAGGGCCATGCAGTGATGACCCACAGTTGCACGGTGACTACAAATAGAAACTGTTGCAGAAATGCGCAGCTTCCCGTGCTCCACTGGTCTCCGACAAAGTGCGGCCTCTTCAATCCATGCCTTGGTGCTGCCCAAGCCCGAGCCCGAGCTTCGGGGGCAAAGAGCAAAGACGTCGTCTGAGCTGGCAGCTGCGACTGTCTCCTGCAGAGCACTTGCGAGAGGCAAAGCTGAAAGGAGAACCGGTGATCTGGCCTGGATCTTGGGGCCTCGCAGCTTGAAGTGCAGCTTGATAGCTTCAGCAAACTCTGGCATAGGCAATCTCAACACGTCGATCATGGCCCACCTTCAGACAGCAGATTCCGGCACTCGCACTACTTGCAGTTGATAAGCTGGCGTGGTATCGGGGCTTCGGGGCACGGCATCCAACCAAACCAGTGTCTTCGACACGGTTACAACACAAGGCAATCAGCATTGAACCAGACTGCCAGCTGCCAGATTACTACTACACAACCACCCCGGCCGACAATGAAAACTACAGCCGGACTAGCAGCACGTCTCCTTGCCTGACGCAGTTCTCGCGCACTGTGGCGTTGTAGGCCTTGCTTTGACTGTCTCCACGAGGCGTCCCAATCTGTGTCTCATAGCCTCAGACATCGCGAAGGTGAGGGGTTCCTCAAGATACCCATCAAAGCATCCATTTCGGTGTCCAAGCAGCCCGGCTCGTTAAAATACGGCTGTGGCACTAAGATCAGCGACCTCATCTCAGTTTGTGGTCTGCATCGCTGATGGGCAGAAGATCCCAATACAGAGCACAAGTACCCTCCGACGCAGTGCACAGGCTTCAGCTTCCTGAGTCAAGCCTTGCGGCTGTATGGAAACGAGCACCTGCACCGCGCGAGAGGTCTGCGCATCCCAGCTCTCACTTCGCTCACCTGGCAAGGCTCAGCACAACGAGGGCATCAGCAAGCAGTTTATCTCTTCCGTGCCTTGCCAGGTTCCCAACCTGGCAGCGCCCATGGTTTCATCAATGTCAATGTTCACGAACAGACATGGAGTCCTTAAGCTCCGGGCAACGAAAGACACACCTTCCCATTGCTGTAGAGGTTGGGATTGAAGCACACAGTCCCACCGCCTGGCGGAAAAAGATCATGCTGCGCTAGCCGCTTTTTCGACTACTGAGTGCTGTGACGAGAAGTGGACCGTAATCGGATCTGAGTGCTGGAGTTGCAGACCCCCGAATAGCAGCCACGACCCCCTCTCCACTGCTTCTGCGAATGTGTCCACACTAGCTGACCACATTTTTGCATGTGTGGCCTGTAGTCAAGAGCTTTACTTCCGGCGGTCCATTCGGATAGCCAACGGGAAAGTACACGTCAAAGACCTGAGCTTCAACGAGAACAGGGAGAGACTCACAGCTACCTAGATGCCGAAAGAGAACGAGTGACCAAGGAAGCTCCAACGCAGGAAGGAGGGAGCGCCGGAGAGAGTGCGCCAGAGGAACGAGGTGTCTTCTCCAAATACTCTAGATACATGTTACAAGGTCGAACTAGTGGCCATGCACCTCAACTAGGAAGCCCAAAATTCATCGTCCAGCTTGAAGATCTTGCTTTTTCTGAGCCGCAAAAAGGCACCCTTATGTGGGATCCTTGCACCTAATGGTTTGGAGGCCTTTGGCAGCCCGTAGCCCACCATATCGTTTGGCGCATTCCATCACATTTCCAGAGGCGTCAGGCGAACGCGAGGGGATGGCACCGTGCCGTTCTCGCACACGCAGCCAGCTGCTCGACTGCCGGCTGGGTCTTACCACGGTTCGGGAAAATTTGTCGGCCCTGTCCTGTCAGAGTCGGAATCTCTCGTTGCAAAACCTCTGTTCTGAGGCACCAGCAAAGCATCCTCCACTGTAGGGGGTATCCTGCAAACAAGCTCCCGCCAAAGGGATATCATGCATCGTAAAGCGATGATTGGAGCAACCTGGCAAGCATGACCATTTCAATTTCTGGCAATTCCTGTCTGCTTCCACATATCGACCCTCCGCCACCACACCATAAAAACGAGATGCTGCACAGGGAACAGTGTTGTCCTCCGGCCCTGTGATCAAAGCCCGCCATAGCTGCTGCTGCTGTGAACCTGCCATGCGCCAATGCCGTGCCACAGCCCTTCCGTGATATGAGCGGCTTGCTTAGAACTGCCGACTCTATTGCCAGGCATTTCCGCCTCGCAAGTCAACCGAATAACAACCATGGCAGCTGCGCCGTTCCGTACAAACACCTGCACAAACAAAAGAACCAAGAAAAGCACGACTCTCGAAAAACACTGCATCACTATTGCGCTGTTCGTGCCTTTCATGGAGGCATCTTCTGTTTGTTTCAGTCCAAAATCACAGCCGGGGAACTGATGAGGAGTCCGACAGCGGCAACAATGCAGCCAGGCCCGCTAACTCCTGATCTCGACCAGCCCGCAGTCAGCGAACATGCACTTACTTCTCCAATAACCCAGGGAAATAAAAGGTTTTAAACTCTCAGATTACTACTACTACTACTACTACTACTACTACTACTAGTACTAGTACTAGTACTACTACTACTACTACTACTACTACTACTACTACTTAGTAGTAGTAACTACTACTACTACTACTACTACTACTACTACT